TAGGGTGTTCAAAATCGAGATTTTTTAATTTCAGGAATTTTTTGTGTCGAAACTATTCATTATCGATCAAAACGGCTTACATGTCCCTATCTTAACTTTTGATTCACTATCTACTGACATTTAATTGGAACAGATACAGGGTGATCAGAATTCTGAATCTTGAACCACCCTGTAAATGTTCCAATTAAATGTCAGTAGGCAGTAAATCAAAAGTTAAGGGAGTGCCAAAAAATAATTCCTACAGATGAAACCCTACAACTTTCATATTTAAAGTTTTTTCCACCTCGTTTAGTAGTAGCTGTAGGCAGGGGTCAAAATATAAAGACACACCCGGTATCGAATGGAATTGAAGTGTTCTTTGAAAGGATATCGCCATAAAGGCTATTTATATGAGTAAACATATTATGAACAGAATAAACCTCATTTCTTCCAATTCCTTCATGTTTCGCACCTCATTGAGATGGTTGTTTTGTGTTAGGTCGCTGATGGACAAAGGAATAGAACCACCAGATGGAGACGAAGATGTGTCACGAAGACAGCTCAGGGTGAAAGAATTTTCCAATAGATTTTCCAGAAATTACTTATACCCTTTAGTCAGGCAGGTAAGATATCAATTTCTTCAATTCAATAAATTACTACATAATAAAAAAAATTGCAGACATATTTCAACATTTAAAATTGAATTGAAAAACACATGATTTTATTATGAAATGGATAAAATTGATACTCTGCCATCTACTGATTAGTCCCTGTTGCTATTTTTAGGACTTGATCGATTTGGCATTTTTAGATTCTTCAGATTTTTGTTGTTGTCACATTATGTTATTTTATTATTATTGTTTGTAATCAACTTCCTCATACCAGAATTTTATTTCTGACTGGAAGCTTTTTTCTCAATAAAATCTCTCATAAAATGAATAATGTGGCTATGACATTATTACAAACAGTTATCATTATCATATATTATGTTACCTACAAACATGGATTTTTTGACAATAGGCACGCTGTCCCATCTCAGTGTCACAGCAGCTTTAAATATGAGGTGCAAAAATAACGTAATATCACCTAGTGATACGTTGGGTGGATTGTGATTTATACATTTTTCAAACACGTGAGACACACGAATTAGAATGACAATGTTGAAAATTCAACGGGAATTCAATGAGGAACGTAAAAAAATTATACCATTCAATGTTGAATTAACGAACCGTCAATAATATCAGTTTTTCAAAGACGAACATCGTTTTGGACAGTGCCGTGCGTTTTATTGAAATAAAAAGGGGTCGATTTTTCATAAAATGAAATTAGGATTTTATTCTACGAGAAAACTAATGGAATAATAATTATTGATCTCCTTATTTTTCCAGATAGAGGATTTGAACAAATGGAAACCCTCAAACCAGAATACAAATCAAAAATTGCTGTCTTCCTATCAGATCATTCTGAATGGCCTCCAAGCTTACCAAAACCATCTTCCCACATCAATAGGAGGATGTTCTTCTGACAAATTGAAGCAGTTACTTGAACATTTATTGGAACTTTGTGACATTCACAATAAAATGATCAATAGAGAATCAGACGATAATGGTTACGTTGACTTTTTATGTGTGAGTTATCATAATTCGTTATATGAATTTTTGGGGTCAAAATTTACCTTCACATTTCAATTTTGATTCAGAAATATTCAGGGTGTTCCTAAATGACATGCTAATATTGAACGGAGCGATTCTTGGTCCTATTCCAAGAATGAAACGTCATATGAATATATGTCGTAAACGTCCTAAATTTTGAGATACAGGATATCAAAGTTGAAAATATGCAAAGATACTGTTTTGCCCACCCTGTTCAGCTTTTCGTGATGGCAAAATTCAGACTGCAATGTGACTGAACCGGTAGAAACATTTAAAAATGTTACCTACTTTGGTTATCCAGTATCCACTTTTCCTTCGTTGTTCACTTTTAAGTAAAATATAAACATACATTTCCTCGCCCAATAAAATTTTTTGCTATTCCACTCAGATTCGTCTTCATCCCATCCCGTATTGGTGGGTGGAGGTTGGCGTCAAAAAACATTTTTTTGACCAATTTCTCCGAACGCCCTGTATTGGAATGCCAATTATAGATTGTCTGTGGGCGAGAACGGGTAATTTCGAGTGCAGTGAAGGAGAGAATGAGTATTAAGAATTGTCGTTATTGAAAAAAGTGTTATTGCCCATAGTCACCAAACGCCCTGTATTGGAATACCAAATATAGCTTGTCTGTGGGTGAGAATAGGTATTTTTGCGTGTAGTAAGGGCAAGAAATGTGTATTTTACAATTCTGTGGATGGTTTTCATTGAAATGCCGAATATAGCTTGTCTGTATACGGGAAAGGGTGAAAAAAAGGAACGTAAAATTCCTGCCCTTTTCTGATGACAAAATTTGTTTCGATACAATTTTTGCCTCTTCCCTACCGTTCAAAATGTTTCGTAGTAAACTGTTTAGTTTTATAAGAGTGAACAAAATTTTCATAGAAAGAAATTTTTCGTGACCTTGAAAATTGAAAAAAATTGTTTTTTCTTGCCAATAATTTTGATTGATTTTTTAGAAATTTTCTTGCACAATACAATTTTTTGGTATTTCGTTCAGATTTATCTTTATCACGGTCCGCACAATGTGCTCACATCCCGTATTGGCGCCACTGGTGAAGAAAATGAAAATAATTGTACATCAGTGAATGTAACTTGAAGGATTTTTTTTTTTCATGTTCTGGTTCCCACGAAAAGGAATATGTTCGGAGAACATCGTGAGAACCAAGGGAAATAAGGTAGGAATTAGTGTTCTTCTCAACTTTCTGGATGTTATATGCCTCGGGGAACACCTCCCTTGGCAAACTGTTCCAGAGCCTCGCTGTTCGTTGGATGAACGAGTCTTTGGAAGGAGATGTTCTGCAGGTCTCCAAAGTGACCACGAAGGGGTGCGAAGCCTCAACTCGACGGGTTAATCTCGCGGGGACTGCCAAGGGAGGAACAATTGTTGATATTTCAAAAGAGCATCGTTCATGAATATATCTATAAAATAGAGCCAGATCGCCAACTTTTCTACGGTGTTCCAGAGAAGTGAGCGACTTTGGGAGCGTGGTATCACCGACGAAACGAATTGCTCTTTCTTGGACAGAATCCAACAGTTTCAGGGTATGTTTGGGTGCTACACTCCAAATATGGGAACAGTATTCCGGGACAGGTCGGATCTGTGCCTTATAGATCATGAGCAGCTGACTGTTTCTATTTTGTTTCGACTTTTAGGAAATACCACTTGAATATTATTAGCATACAAATACCACTTGAATATTATTAGCATGTCTCTAAGATATACCCTGTATAGCTAACAGATTGACGTCCTTTATATTTGTAGACAATCAAACTGCATGCTGAACTAACGTTACAAAAAATCGAGGACCATTTCACTGCCGTATCCACCGACAGTATGCTCAAATCTACAACTACCAAGCTCAGTCTTCAACAGTTTCGTACTGATCCGAAGAATAATAAGAGTAAGCTGAAGAAAAATAATATAGAAGATAGGTTGTCGATGTACTCAGCAAATTCATCATTTAGGAAAGATGCCTTGTGGAAGAAAACTGCTGAGGCACTTGCTAAGAAAAAGTGAGTACCCAATAGCTATTACAGGAACAGGGGCTATAAGGCTAGTGCAGGGGGGGCACCATAAAAAAACCAAAGAGACAAATCAAATACAAGCAGTTTCATGAGGAAAATTGAAAACCGGTACAAAATCTACAAAGAAAATCTATTGAGAAATAATCTTCTCCTCTTTTGAAAGTTATGATATTTAGGCGTTTCAATTTTAATGGTATTTCATTATAAATTTCAGATCCAATAAAACTAGAATATTCTTCTGAAATTCTAAGCTCAGGTTTTTCAAGTCGTACATTGTTGATTTTATTTCTTGTATGATAACTGAGTATGATTGATTTTATTGGTTATTGCCGTATTCAATTTAATAAACATTATTGACGCCTTATAGAATAATTGCCTATCATTCAATACATTATTTTCTAAAAATAATGATGTTGATGGATAATCAAATGATTTACGGAATATTATTTTCAAAACATATTTTTGAATACATAATAAAGGTTTTAGATGAGTTTCATACATACATACCACCCCATCCAATTATTCCATATGATAACACAGATTGGAAGAGAGTGTGATAAAACATGATTATTAAATGTCTACTAACAATATTTCGCAAAATAATAATAAGATAATTATACAGGGTGTTTCTAAATTCAGTATCAAGATTTTAGGGGCGTATTTTTCAGGTCAAAATAAGACGTTTTTGTCCATAAACATGTGTCCGCAAACGCTTCGTTACCGATCTACAGAGCGTTAAAGTTAAACAAATACACGATGAGACATCCACCAACTTTCAAATAATGTCAAATGCTTCAAAACAAACCTAAACGTCAAAATGAAAATAGCAGTCAAAGCTTAGTGGGCTTCGCTTTTTCATTGTTCCGTTGAAAATTTTAATTAAATGTAGCGAATCACAAAAATTGATTTTACTTTTTTCTCGATAACGATCGCAGATGCGTGAAAATTACAAGAGACAAAAAAATTTATAAACAAAACAAAGAATTCATTTCGTATCTCAGAATTCACCAGCGGCGCACCACAAAAAAGTTTATGGGGTAAAAAAGGGCTTGACCCCTGAAAAAAATATCTCCCTGTAGATTCTCACAATCACTCGGTATGCTGGATGATGTAAGCCCTAGAACGTAACCTACATGCCAAATTTGATCTTAATATCTCAAAAATTGAAAGAGCTATGAAGAAAAAAATAAAAAAATCTTGAAACTTTAACGCTCTGTAGATCGGTAACGAAGCGTTTGCGGACACATGTTTATGGACAAAAACGTCTCATTTTGACCTGAAAAATACGCCCCTATAATCTTGATACTGAATTTTGAAACACCCTGTATACTATTACAGATTGAACGTCAAGTCCCGTTACAAAACTTCCACCTACAAGCACAGACCTCCGACAGACAAACCTGGTACGCAAATTCTCACCCTGCCAAGCAAATGTCGCCTGTTTGCTAGAAAATCATCGACGATCTTGAGAAAAACCCCTTTGACAACCCCAGTCAACGAGGATAACATCCCCACCATGGTCCAGATGGAAGAGAAGAATGACGACAATGTCGGAGAAAAAACAGACGAAAACAAAGTCGAGGTATATCTTTATTTTTCAAACACAGTTATAATATCTTTAACATGGTTCGCATAACATTTATTTTTCAATAATTTCAATATAAAAAGCGTGAAAATTCTTGAACTGGTGTGGTAGGTATATATTAAGCTTCACAATGATTTTTCTAAAAAACATGCAGTGAAAAATTCTCAACATAAATGAGTAAATAGGATAATGTTGGTGACTAGGTATATAGAAATTTCATATGTGATTTAGATATATGTATAGTATCAGTTTGGAAGCCGTGATTTGTTGAACAAATTCAACACTTGACACAATGTGGTTTTCCTGCATCAACTTGGAATGATTGGTCTTTCATGATTGGCTTGGAGCACCTCTGGAACAAGAAAATATACTTCAGTTTACATGATATTCACTATCAAAGGCATTCGAGCCAGAATCAACTGCATACATTGATGACGTCGCAGTCTCATTAAGAAAATGTATGATTCCAAACCGAAAATGGTTCATCAAGAAGAAACACCGCTTGTTTTTAATGATAGAAACATTTTCGGGTTATTTTTGTGACTCTAATACAATTTTGGACTATTTTTCTATCAAACTTCTATACAGGGTGTCCCTCCGGGAACTGTATCGATCAATATATGGAAAACCATAGGTGGACCCCAACTTCGTTCCCGGTACAACCGGAAGTGCCACAATTTTCAAAATATTCTAGCCAGATAGCACTTATCAACTATAGTGAGCTCCCAAGTTTTCAAATTCGGCCCACCTATGGTTTTCTATTTATTGATCGATGCAGTTCCCGGAGGGACACTCTGTGTGCTCAGAATATGTCACTTCAACTTCTACTATCTTGATATATTTTTCCTTTGAGTTCTTCCCAATTCTTTTATTTTTTGATCATTGAAAAATTATGTGTCGATTTTATTTTCGCTAGGTAGGTATGTACATTATAGTTTGTCTCCTGGAATCAAAACAACAAGATCACGTTATATCATCAATATATTCAGTTTGATCTACACACCGATCAAAAAGTAAATAGGTACATCGTTAAGTTGAAAACATCTCCAAATTTATGCCTCTACTATAAATAATTTAGCTTTGGCACATTTTCACTATTTCAAAACTGATCGCATTGCCAGAAATAATATATCTAATTTCTGGATCGATTCACATAATAAATAATCTTGTATGTATGTGACATTCAACATTAATATGTGCATGGGAGTAGGAAAAGTGAAGTGGACATAATTCATTTCATATTTTTCCATGAATTGTTAGATTCAAAACTGAACTGGGTTTCTCTCTAATCTTGAGTTAATTCGGAAAATTACAAAATTAAGTATTGATATAGGATAAAGTAGGGTAAGTAGTGTACGTAACTATTGGATTCTTGTGGATTCATGCCTGTATTTTCAAGGTTACAACAAAAAGTCAAAGAAAATTAAATTGAAGTCGAGCAGAATTTGTGAGATACATACATTAAAATTCACTTCTTATAGCAGCAGATTAGAATGAAACTATATTTTAGGCCCATTTTTGAACAGGAGTTTTTAAGATCCGTTAGAGGGAATCTGCTGCCTCATTCATTCACAAAACAGACTATTATAATAAATCTAATATTATTGCAAAACTAAGTAATGAAATTAAGAATTTATGAACGAAACAGAGGAAATCAAGTAAATCACAACGTGATATACAGTGTGTCCAAGATAAGGATGTCCGGGATGTCTATCATGGGAATCGTTTTTATTTTTCTGTCGTTAATTGAAGACTGAAGAGATATTGAAAGACAGAAGACACTTCCTCATTCCTATTTTTGAAGCTCTACAAAATAGCGTTGAGACATTTTCCGTACGTTTCGGAGAAATTATCATCAACTATATCCCATGATAGACATCTTTATTTTGGACACACTGTATATCAATGAATGGCGTTTTCAATACCAACGGAACTTGTATAAGTATATCCATATGTGTGTATTTTGTCATATTAAAATGTTATAATATGCATTCTTCTCAATTTCAAAACTGTTGTTCTGCGTAAAGTGCCATATCACCATAAATTGAAGTGGGTAATACCCTATTTTTATTTTCCATCTACGGCTATTATTTAATTGACAGGAAACCTGACCTCTTGAATCGTATCTGACAATCAGGCGCTATGGGTTGCGTGCAAGAACTGTCAGATGACCGACCCTGGAGGTGAAACATCGAAACACAACCTCACTTTTCTTATTTGTTTACAAGTGATTGAAATAGTTTTTCACAATTATTTCGGCATACCAATCGTGTTTTTCGGCTATTCACTAAATCACGCATGCCATCACATTGTGCTGTTGTACAATGCACAGAAGATGCAGCGGGAGACGAAGGAATCCAGTTGGTACAATATGATTCAAAAGTAAGTACCTACATAGTCACTCACATATATTTTTCATTTTTGAAATTTGCTTATTTATCTGATAGTAGAGTGCCAATCGAATCCTATCGTTCACCCCTTGGGAAATCGGAGGTAAAAAGCTGTGACATGGCTAGAATTGTTACCCACCATCTCCACCATATAAATATAATATATATAAATCCATATATGGATTTTTTTATAAATTACCCCCTACCTCCCAAACGCACAGGACGATTTTTTGACGACAAGTGGATCCATGATCTGGAGATGGTGGGTAACAATTCTAGCCATGTCACAGCTTTTTACCTCCGATTTCCCACCAACTTTTGATCTAAGCGACTTACGGTTCGTTTGGCACTCTACTAAGATTTCTCATCGCAATTCTTTCTGCAATAGGAACTAATAGAAATACTCGTGAAATTCCTGAAAGAATGCAAGAAGATTGGATTCATGATTCATGTAATATCAAACGGGAGAACTGATTTGACATGCTGACGAAATATGATCGTGTGTGTTGTAGACATTTTCAATCTATTAGCAGTATTAGCTTCTATCGCAGAAGTGGCAGAAGGAATTGTAATAAGAAAAGACAAAATTTCATAATGAAAACTATGTGAGAGATTACTATTTACCTGAAAATCATATTTCTTCTTCTCTCGCTTCTTTTTTAGTGTATTGTACAACAGCACAATGAATAGCGAAAAAACACGATTCCTATGCTATTTCGATCCTTTGATTCCTCTGTAAACGAATAAAAAAAGTGAGGTTGTGGTTCAATATTTTATGTTTATTTTACCTCCAGGGTCGGTCATCGTGCACAAAAGCCCTATTATGGAAATTGAAAAGGCGAAGAGCAGAATATATGTCTTATTCTTTTATTCAGTCAAACTATTGTGATATAGAAAATAGAAAAGGACAGAAGTTCAGCTGTGTCCGAACTCTTATCTAATACCATTCAGTGATTTAAATAATATTGACATAGGTAACTACAAATTGAGCATTAATTGCCTTTGGTGTTAAGCCACTGTTAGGGTTTGAAATAATACTACGTCTGCACACGTTTATTGAAGGGGTACCGAAAAAATGATATTCCATCTATAAAAAAGCATGACAAGCGTGTCCTCACTCTTTAAAAGGCGTAAAATTAGATATAAGGGAGAGTAGCTGGTTGAACAGTATTTTCAATTACATTTTCTGCACAACAAGCAACAAGGATAACTGGGACAATAATTAATTGATAAGCAGGTACTCACGGAGCATCTGAAGCACATCTGGTGCCACTTGGCGTCCAAAGCAACTATCGCCTTATCCGCAATGGGCTTGCTGCATCCCTTGCACCTGTCAGCGTGTTTGGCCACATAGCACTTTTGGCAATGCGGTACTCCGCCCAGGTCCATGAACTGGGTGCCGATCAGCTTCGACTTGCAATCGTTGCACACGAAGTGGTCTTCGTGCCAGTTGGCGCCCATGGCCTGAACGCATTTCTAGACAAACAGAAATGTCAACATTTCAGAGAATATTATAGTCCAAGAGCCGACTGAATACTTCTACCCTCATCTGATAACTAAATGATGTACAGAGTGTCCGGAGATAAAACCGACAAGATTTATGGGTTATAGGGATTGTCAAAATATGATTGCAAAATACCATAAACCAATGTCCATAACCGCTTCATTATTGACATACAGAGTGATTTGTGGATTTTGACATGTAATTCAATCCGCCATCATATCAAATACAGGGATTAACAGATTAGATTCAGATTTGGTACACAAATTACACTGGAAAGCATCAACAAAGAGGCCTTTGCTAGAAACCAATATCAAGAACGGAATGATATTTTCTTCCTATGTTGAGTTATTGTGAGAATAACTCACCCTATATAATAAGTCACCCTGTATAACAACTCACCCTGTATAATAATTACCAAAAATTTCAACTCAGATTCGAAATCTATGGTGAAAATTGTATAGGAATTTGTTGAAAAATCTTCTGGCACTTTCATAGTTATTCCGTAATTAATTATTATTTTAATTTTTTTCATTCAAATATCAGTTATTGTCGGATAAAGTACCATCAAAATTGGTAATATAATAAATATTAACGAAACCATGACATGAATATCGATATTTTCTTCAATCAGTTCGTAAATCGTAGTAATAGTTATTTGTTTAACTAGGCAGCAAAGTAGTATATTGACTGCCGAGGCTGAATTCATAGCCGATAGCGTAGCGAGGCTAGGAATGCAGCTAAGGCAGTCAATCTACTTTGCTGCCGAGTTGAACATATAATTTTTTCTCCGATTGTTCATAATGATATATATCTCTTTATTCTTCCTGTAGTGTTCAATTAAAATAAAATTTGATAGAAATCGCAGTTGTTGGAATGGTTGGTTGCTATGGAAATGTCTATAATAATTATAGTTTGACAATTCATGAAATTTCTGACAGTTGTGGAAAAAATATCGGTATATTTGAATTATTATATAATGGACAGTGATAGCGACCTGGAAATACTTAAACCTCCAGAAAAAAGGGAGGTGGCAAAAAATATTGAGTTGAATTTGTTCCCGGAGAAGTCTTGGATGAAATATGAAGGAAATTATAAACGATTTATGAATTATTGATTTTGCTGATACATATCAATCAGCAAATTAACCACTTTGCTGCCTAGGCAGGAAAAGTAATACTTTGCTGATTGATATGTGTCAGCAAAATTTATATTTGCTGCCAATCGGAGAAAAAATAAAATTCTCTCATAACCCGAAAAAACGGATAGTAAATAGATTAAATCGTTGACATATGCCGGGAATTTTTAGAAAAAATATTCACTTTACTTCACTGTATACTCAACCTTAATACAATACCTTCTGCAACTTATTTTTCAATAATGCTTCAGTTCTGCATTGCCACTATCGTGAAAAAACTTTTCCTAATCTCAAAATATAATGAGTACGTACCTATATTATATCAAAGCCTTGATTATATACACTAGTGTGAATACTCAATGATCAAAGTAACTTTTTGAGTGAATACAGTAGTTCAATGTAAAACATCTATGTCCAACTTACATCCATGATATGCTCATCGCAAGCAAAGCATTTCGGAGCGAAAAGTTTGGTGTAGCAAGGAGTGCAATAGGGAAAGTTGTCGTTAGTCCTGAATTTGGTTTCGGTTATGGGAGTTTTGCATTCATTGCAGCAAAAATGGTCGGTATGCCAGCTGGCGCCCATAGCTGTTAAAACCTATAATAAATTGTTAGTTGGAATTATAAAAAAATACGCACACACCAAAACTAAGATGGCAAGTTTTATTAGTTATTAGAGAGAAGAATATTAGTTATTATTTTAGCTCGAAGTTGTGTTGTCTCCCGACGCGCAGCGGAGAGATACAAAAAAATGAGAGCTAAAATCTAATATTTTCTCGTGTATAATACACAATCATTTTCTGTGACAGGGAAATCGACGATTTTAACTGGTTTGCTGTTGGCATATTTATTAGTGCTGTGGAAACCTTCAGAAGTAATCAAATATATGTCAATTTAATTCTTTATTTTGATTTGAAAAAAGTTAGAACAGTGTTTAAAAGGACTTTTAGTCTTACTCTCAGTTTTTTGTCGGAGACGGTGTGATTGGCTTATTTTTTGGAACCGGCACAACAAAAGTCATCAACAGGTCACCTATATATACAGTGTTTCCCGCTTTTCATGAATGCACCCTGATATCTCAGTTATTAATGTTCGATTCTCTTGAAGTTTTTGTAGTGATTGTATGTTAGAAATAAGGAAGTATTTTGCAGAATGAACAGTTTCATTCACCATTGGCGTGCGATCTTGAGGAGTACCAAAAATGCCTTTTTCTACAAACGTCAAAAAATGACATGGTTCGCGCATTGATGACAAATTGCGAAGTGACACTTTTTTCAGTTTTCTACGTTACAATGATACCTTGCACAAAACAATGCGCGAAGTAAAACAGTGCGCGAGGTACCTACTTCGTTCAACAATAACTCTGTTTTATCTCGTACGTACCTATTGAGGATAGGGGGAGGCCTTTCAAGCCAGTTTAACACTATTTTTTATATCAAGCTAAGCATATATTTACTTCAAAACCATGTTGTTTGCAACTCGAGCGCGAAATACTTTGGTGATCGAGATCTAATTTTTTTAACGAGGCGAAGCCGAGCATTTCGCGCTCTAGATACAGAAATAACTATTTTTATCAGATTCATAATCAGCATTCCCAACCCACCCCCTCTCAATTCATATTTTCAAGATGCCAAAAGCTGAAATAAAATATTTCGAAATCCTGCTTTTTATGACAACACCCTCAAATCTCAGTTATCTATAATGCAATTTTCTTGACATTTTGATGGTGATTGTAAGTTAAAAAAATAATATACAATCAACATCACTGTTTCGAGAAAATCGCATCATTAATAACTGACATTTGGGACGTAGTCATGGAAAGCGGGATTTTGAATTTTTCTTGAGATTTTGAAAATATGAATTGGGGGCTAAACAGTTATTTAAAATGAGCCCTAATATCCTTTTTCCGAATAATGGCCTTTTTTGTACCCCTCAACATTGAACGCCAATGGTGATTGAAACTGTTCACTGTGCTAAATACTTCATCGTTCTAACATACAATTTTAAGAGAATAGCATCATTAATAACGGAGATATCAGGGTGTATTCATGAAAAGCGGGACACACTGTATATCCGGGAAAAAAGTAAACACTCTTTTCCCGAGGGAAAAAAGTAATGTATGAAAAGTGGCACCTGTAACCTGTTAACAGAGATTTCGTCTCTGTTGGCAGGTTATAAAATGCCCCTTTTCAGAAATTACTTTTTTCCCGTGGGAAAAAAGTGAGTATTTTTTTCCCGGATATATATCACATACATAATATACACTGTTGATGGCTTTTGTTGTGCTATAGTTCCGAAAAATGAGTCAATAATACCGTCTCCGAGAAAGAACTGCAAGTCCTTTTATCTTCCACTCGATTTTGCGGTTAGCTATATTACTAAACAACCACTAAATTCGCAATTTTTTGAAATCGAATCACAAAATTAGACTGACAGAAGTGACATCATATATTTGATTACTTCAAAAGAATGATAAAGATGCATCCAACGCAGGTGTCCCTACTGTTAAAAACTCAAAATTTCACGTCGATAATTTTCAGATTTCAAAATAAAGTAATATTTTCCCAATATTGATTCGTCCTTTCTTCTGTCAAAGAAAAAAATAGTGTATTATACACGGGAGAAATATTAGATTTTAGCTCACGGTTTTTCGTCGTGTCGGGAACTACACAACCTGGAGCTAAAATCTTCTACTTTTTTCCCTTGTATAATAAATAACTATCGATGCCGTTTTTTACTCACTCCTCCTTGGATAGCCTGGTTGCATTGTTTGCAGATTTTTGGTTCAGTGCCTGCGGAACTCTGCAAAAATAAAAACAAATTTCGATATATCATATCTTTACTAATATTGACAGGACGAATTTTTGTGAACGGTGCTGAAAATATCCAAATCAACATATAACTGGCGGTAGAGAACAGGGACAAAATTACGAAGAAAAAGTTCGAATGAATATGATGGGTCACAAAGTGGCTCCTACAATGTATAGCTTCAGCTTCTTGTAGAGGCTTTTCTAAAAATGTTTTTTCCTTGTTATTTCCGAAACGTTTTTATATAAAATGATGAAACTTTGTATATTCACCTCACTTTTTATGCTGCATTGAGAAATTTGAACGAAATTTGAAATTTTCATTCACTATAGTGGATTGAACAGGGTTGGCTTAGTGTATGCTTAGCTTTCGCTATTCTTTACTTTTTTTATTTGCAAAAATATGCCCATCAACCATTTAAGTAAACTTATTACAAAAAAATATAGTACGACAGCCGACTGCAGATTTCTACCGTCATCTAATAACGAAATGATATATGTCCCAAAGGAAAGTGAAAATATTGTAGTTCATCGATTAAAAACTTGCACTTTTCTTTGCGGAAATTTGCACTCGATTTCGCGATTTCATAACGAGAATAGAATTATGCCATCAGATACCAGTTGAATGGTAGATCTCAGAAACCTACCTAAGCCAACTCTCAGTCTGAGCCAAATTCACGGCACAGCGATATACAGGATGTTTCGAAATTCGACCGACAACGCTTGACAGGTGATAGCCTGAGATAGGGACATATGGTCTTCAAGTGTTCAGTTCTCGAGATACAGGGCGTTAAAGTATTAAGAAATAAAAATAGTTGTTTCGCAATATCTCAAGAATTATTTTTGAATATAATGCATACAACTTCGGTATATGGTTCCATCTTTGAATGAGTCATTTTTGACTAGGAAGTCATTCCGGACATTTTATCCAGTGGTGCCCTACAGGGGGTTGTGGCAACTTTTCCTCCCATATTTTCTACGCCACTGATTAAATTTCGATTATTTATTCCTCGAACTCATTGCTCAATTTTGTTCAGAAAATGCATCACCTTCAACTGAGCTGAAATGAACAGTTTTCGATATGTGGGATGCGAGAGTGAAAATAACGTGCCTATAAGTTATATTACGTATACTTAGGGTATATCTACTTCTTTGTTACTTTCATCAATAAATTATTCGAAAATGACTTTTTATTCAAGAGAGACGGAAGAATCATATGTATAACATGGGGGTAAAGTATGTTCTATTCTTTATTTTCCTGCACATTGTACGTATTACTTTTTATCAGCCTACTTTTCATCCTAGACGAAGTTTTTTACATAGTGTGATATTAGTAACTCCATGAATTCTTCTCCGAGTTGGATTTCCGAAAATATATCTAGCACACATGGATTGAATAAGGATGGAACTATATAACTGATTCACAAACACTTTGGAGTGAGAGGAGACGAGGATCTGTCCGTACCCTGTTATGATAACTTTAACGTCAATTTCCATCAAAAGGGACCCTATATGTCCCTATCTCAGTGATTATGAAATCACGAGCGCTATCACCTGTCAAGCATTGTCGGTCGAATTTCGAAACACCCTGTATTTGCAACATATTATTCCGGACATACTTCCGTCATGTGATAACGAGTTGAAACAAGAAGCAAATAATAATTGGGGATTATGTTATGATGTTAAATGACTGATGTAAAATTGCCAAATTAACTTCGATAATATAAATAGTATTGTTTTTCATCGAACAATATTGACTGTACTAGATCCGAGATTGGTCCTTGACTCACCCTGCGCATTTAGTCACATTTTTTTTTAGATCGCACGAAACGGAATCCTTATTATGTTCGAGATACATCGTGCCTACCTAGGAAGAATAGGGAGAGAAGGTAGGAATTGAATATTTTCAACTTCCGGAATGAAAATAAATAATTTATATGAATGATTTTGTCGAATTTTCTATCAACGTTAGCAGAAAATCCTTGAACATATTGAAACATGTTGAAACCAACTCAAAATGAGAATGAGGAAATGTAAAAATCAGAAATCGAAAAAGTTGTTGGTATTTTCTGATAACCACACTGAATTGAAAAATATAGCTTTTATATTTTGAGATATATGCAAACCGACAACCAATAATTGATCATACCTGAACCTGATGCAAAATCCAAAATATCAGCTTATTTGCATATTAGGCTAGGTGAAAATCAATGTTGATTCCAATGATTTCATTCACTAAATTTGATATCATAAATAGAAACTAATGTTTAGCTAAAAATTGTCTGGACGTACCTAGGTACTTATTCATAATATATGATGACTAATATAGGTAGGTAAGTATGAGTGTTTTAGCTTTCATGAATCATTCAGAACAGCATCATCTTTACGAATATTTTAGCACCTACCATTTTATTCACTTTTCTCGACCGACGACACACTCACGACTATTTCTCGGTTTTCAAATTTGACAATTTGTTGACGTGAAGTGACAGGCGCCACGCTAGTCTCTAGACCTAGTCTTCAGACGATTGTTATGATGATGAATTCGCGATCATTTCTGCCCTGTTATCGATTACGTTCTATTTTCAGAATGTGAATCATGAGGAAATAGTGGTGAAACTCCTCCGACTGGTACTAGATAGCCATTCCATTGCGTTTCAAGAGCGAGAAATGCGGAAAACGGCAAAAATATCCAAATGTTCGGCTCGTAAACAATTTTCATCGATAATTTCAATTTTTATTGTGAGCAACGAATTAACCTGTTGATTCATTTTCACATTGTTTTGGAGCGTTTTATTATTTCTCATAGTTTCTGATATGGTGCATATATAACCTGCTATAACCCATAGACGTAGCCAGAGAGTGGCAGGGGTAAGCACTTGCCCCTTTCACCCCCCTGGTCCAGCCAGAGGTAATATTTATATACTTGATCGATTCGTGATCAAAAACTTCTGATATAAATATTCCTATTTTTTTCAAATTGCCTGGGCATTGCAAATAGTTTCATCCGGATAGCCAGAAAATATTTGACTCGTGAAAAATCACCGTGACGCGGCAGAGATCATAAACCAAATGACTATAACTGAAGCTGAAAAAAATCGCTGACAATCTCTTAAATATAGATGTATAGAGAGTCAAATGGTTCTTGCGACTGAGGTCGTTATATCGTCTCGATAACGGGACCACTGGGAAACAGGCCGACATCTCATAATAAACAGCCTCAACCCTCTGCAGGGGGGCACCATTGGGCTGGATCAACCCCTGCCCCCTTCTCGTAAGAGAAGGGAAACTGTAGGCTTTCTTCATGAACAAGATCAGAGCTCGAAAAAGAAGCCTTAAGGAACCAGAAGAAAAGAAGGATAATAATTCAAACCAACCTCTGGTACCGTGAGTGGCAGTGCCTACAGTTATTGCGATGGTATTTGAAGTGACCCTTATATACTGTGTCCAAACTAAAGATGTCTATTATGGGGATAATTTTTTTTCTGACGTTATTTAAAGAGATATAGATAAACGAAAGGCACTTCCTCATTGCCACTTTTTCAGCACTACAGAACAGCGTTGAGAGATTCTCCGTACGACGTTTCGTTTCAGAGAAATCATCATCAACTTCACCCAATAAAAGACATCCTTATCTTGGACACACTGTATAAGAACCATATGGGTCTCCTAAGGGTCATCGGAGACTTCGGTCAGATGAGCCTTGGAAGGTGATAGAGTCTAGTGGGTACACTTACATGTAGGGACTTTCACACTACCATGAAGAGAATAGTCCTTCTTCGTGTCCATAAAAGATGTTGACCACCACGACAAAAAAATGAAAAGTAGCATTTCGAAACTTATTGTTCTTGAAAATTTTTAACTCGAGGAATTTTGCAAGAATACATAATAATATCATCAGTGATTCTTCCAATTATTTGCCATATCTTCAATTTTTGCATCGTCCTATTTGGAACAAATCATTTATTCTTCCTCTGCCCAAAGTACAAAATCCAGAGGATATAAAATCGCTACGTCCAATCAGCATTCTATGTACGCTCGCGAAAGCTTTTGAAAAAATGATATTCCTTCAAACACAAATGCTTATAGATGCGCACAATATCATATAATCATGTCAATCTGGCTTTAGGTCCCAGCATATAGCTGTGTGACCGCTATTCTTGAGGTTACAGACGACATACTCACTGCAATAAATGACAGATCAGTGGCGTATCTGGCCACTTACTCTGGGGGGGGTGGAGTAATCCAATTCAGGAAAATGTAGGTAGGTAGGGACAACAACAAAAAAATATCACAATAAAAAAGGAACAATACTCAGAACGATATGAAAATAAAGACTAGGTATATTCAGTATTCACATACCTAAGCCTGATAATGAGTATTATCAAAAACAAAAATGAACAAAACAACCTGTGAATATGGGAACAAAAATAGTGGTGGTGCCGGTACACACAATCTTATATTATAAGGTTATCTTATTACTTATTTAATCAATCAGAACATTGAAACTGAAAGAACAAAAAAAGAAAAATCATAAATTAGGCCGTCATCAAGGAACGGACCGACTGCTACTGCTAGGGTCAGTGTTGCCAGCTGCTGAAGCTAGAAGTCGCTATAGCGAGCGAAGCGAGCTGAAAGCCCGCCGCAGGCGAAATTTCTGAAAGTTAAGCGACATTTTTTCGTTATCATATTTTGTCATTTTCTGAAAACTATATTCATTTGAAATCTGTTCAGAATAAAAAAGCACAATATGAAAAACAGAATGAAGATACATTTTCCTATAAAATTACATTCGGTATTATCAGGTAGGTACATACATTGGTGAATCACAAAATACATGTCGCGGTCGTATGTGAAGTATATCTTTGATCAAATCACACATTAATAAACATGTCATATGATGTCAACTTATATTTCTAGATCAACATCATACAGATCTGCGACTTCAGTACTGATTTAGGCAAAATGAAATCTTCAGGAGCATCATATAATTTG